GCGCGCCGGTGCCCGCACGCCGCGCACTGGGGGCCACCGCTGCCCGCTGCGCCTCACCGGAGACACCGGGGCGGGGATCTGGGCACCCGCAGGGGCTCGGCGCACTTCTCCAGCCTCGAGTCCGAAGTATGACGCGGCCCAGGGGGCCCCACTGCCCCCTCGGTCAGCGCAGGCCACGGCCCGAGGGGGCGCGCTCAAGAGACAGGACCCGCGTGGGTTGGGAAGGAAGGAATGGAACTGACCGTACCCCGCCTGGAGTAGCGCCCCCTTGCATTGGGGGAACCACGAGCCAGAGGGGATTTGGTTGCCCAGATCTCACCCAGCCTGAGAGCGAGGGAGCGGGAGGGGGCGGGGGGTCATGGAACCCACCCGACTTTTTTTAAAACCCGACAAGGGCTTTTTAATGTCACCAGATGGGGCGGGAGGTGGGGGGGGTCACTCCACGCCCGCGCCCCGCCCCCACGCCCGGGGCCGTGGTCCCCACATCACTGTGCAGCTCCCCGGCCCAGCCACGCCTCCGGGGAAGCCCGTTTTTAACCTTTCATCCATCGGGACTCAAAACTGTGAGACGCGTTCGCCAAACTGTGACCCCAGACCTTGACCCCGCCACACAGAAACCCCTGACCCCAGACTGTGACTTCCGACACCTAAAATGGTCATCCGACCCCAGACTGTGACCCGAACCCCAGACTGTGCCCCAACCAGACTGTGACCCTTGATGTCAAACCTTGACACCCCACCCCTCCTTGTTTTCCATTCTTTGGCTTTTTCCCTACTTTGACCTACGACCGACCTGTTTCCAACGGAAGCCCCACCTTCCCCTGTCCCTCAGTGATCCCAAACCCCCTCAAGCCCAAACTTCCACCCTTCCCATCTCCCTACCACTCCAAGTGTCACCAACCACATCCTCTCTAAACCCAACCCTTGTGATCCTTCAGTGATGACCCAGCAGACCCCCCACCAAAGCCTCCTCTTCCCAGATCTCCAGCAGGGTCTGGGGCTGGGTTGTGGAGGGGAGGATCTTCACACTTCACCACCAACCTTCCTTCCACGCTCCTGTTCCACATCGCAGTGTTTGGAATAAACCATGTTTTTATGCCACCTCAGTCCAAGCCTGAGCTCTGTATCTGTCCCTTAGTCCCCCTTAACTTCTCTGGAGAAAACAAACTGAGAAATGTCCCACAGGGGAAGAGGAGACAGAATCAGAACAGACTCTGAAGGGACGTGGAGAAAAACCCAGGGAAAGGAGGTGGGAAAAGAACCGAGGAGAAAGAGGTCGACAGTGGGCTAGGGCAGAGAGAGCCCTCAAAAGAGTGGTGAGAAAAACCCGGTATAGAGAAACATTTCAGGATCAAACTCAGGGTCCCATTTCCTATGGCCACAAGCAACAAGGCTTGCTAGATTCATAATGCCCTGCTCAGGCAAGCACGGAGAGTCTTTATCACATCCAGCCAATCCCCACCCTTGGATGCCCTTAATCTCACCAATGAGAATCTATTTCTAACATTTCATTACGCCAATTAACCAAACTGCTGGTACCGATAGGCGATAAAGAGAGCCAACGCACTGTAATAGCTGCCTCCAGAGGGTGGACTTTCTGAGTAAGTGCTCGCTGACCAGAGCTGCAGTGTAAACGCCTGGTTAGGCAATTGACTGTCCCTAGAGGGTAGATTTAACCGACTAACTTACACATAATATCCAGCCTGTCTACACTAGAGACTTTTGAAATAAATTACAGCCATCATAACGGGGAGAGAAGAAGAAACCGGCTTTATGGGTCCTCAGGGAGCAGAAACTCAGTCACCCTGCCAGTAAGTGCTCGAGTTTGCATAGATGAATAATTAATTAAGTGGAAAGACAGCCCTGGGAATGAAAGGTGGAAGATGGAGGCGGGTTCGGAACTCTAGTAAATGGGGGTTGGGGGGCGGCCTCCTGTAAAACTACAACTCCCACGAGCCTTTGCCATCGCCACGGGAAAGGCGCCCTAGGTCACGCGGAACACAGTTTTTCCTTAGCCGCTGAGTCCTCTCCTGGGGCTCGGACTCTGCGTGTTAGTTATGGGTCTCTCAAGGCTCCGCTCCCTCTAATTGGTGGTCCGCGAGGTTTCCAGGGCAACCGCGCAGTGGGCGGATCTTAGAAGGTAGAAGCGAGACCCGGAAGTGACGCTCTTACCTCGCGACGGCCGCGAGAAGGGTGGAAGATGGCTGCGCGCAAGGGAAGGCGTCGCACGTGTGAGACTGGGGAACCCATGGAGGCCGAATCCCGGGACGCAGGTTCTGAGGGACCGCCCCAGGTCTACCTGCCCGGCCGTGGACCGCCGCTGCGCGAAGGAGAGGAGCTGGTCATGGATGAGGAGGCTTATGTGCTGTACCACCGTGCGCAGACTGGTAGGACTGAGGGCTCGGACTCCTGGGTCTTGAGGAAGGGACTGTTCCTGAGCATTAAACTTAAAAGAGGGCTGGGGTTGTGGCTCAGCGGTAGAACGCTTGCCTAGCATGTGTGACGCCATAGGTTCGATTCTCAGCTCCACATACAAATAAGTAAAAAAATTCATCAACAACTAATAAAAATATTTTTTAAAAAAGGGGGCTGGGGAGATAGCTCATTTGGTAGAGTGCTTGCCTTGCATGCACAAGTCCCCAGGTTCGAACTTCAGCACCACACACACAAAAAAAAAAACAACCTAGAATAGATGCCCAGAAAAAGAAAGCTGGTCGAGAGGCTGAGACAGGAAGACCGCCAATTCAAAGCCAGCGTCAGCAACCGTGCTAAACAACTCAATGAGACCCTGTCTCTAAATAAAATACAAAAAATAGGCTGGGGATGTGGCTTAGTGGGTGAGTGCTCTTGAGTTCAATCCCTGGTACAAAAAAAAAGAAAGAAAGTAAGCTGGGTTTAGGAGAGGTTATGTCACACAGGAGATGGTTGGTCCCTGAGGAAGGTGGAGGCTGAGATTGTCCCATCCTAAATCCTTTCTTTCTATCCCTAGGTGCCCCCTGTCTCAGCTTCGACATAGTCCAAGATCACCTGGGAGACAACCGGACAGAGCTTCCTCTTACACTTTACCTGTGTGCGGGGACCCAGGCGGAGACTTCCCAGAGCAACAGGTGAGTGAGATCCTTGGCTTTGTTTCCTGGGAGCAAGGGTCTGAGCTTCCACATACAGCTTCCTTCCTCAGGACCAAGGAGTTAGGGTTTCTGCCTCACTGGGACCCAAGAGTCTTGAGTTTCCAGCTTCCTTTTTGCCCTCTTTGTTTTGTTTTTGTTTGTTTGTTTGTTTGTTTGTTTTTGTACCAGGGATTGAACCCGGAGTCACTTAACCACTGAGCCACATCCCAGCCTTTTTTTTTTTCTTCATCTTATTTAGAGACAGGGTTTCACTGAATTGCTGAGACTGGCTTTCAATTCATGATCCCCCTGCCTCACCCTCCCTGTTGGCATGACAGGCTTCCAGCCCTTTGCTGTAATTCTTGACATTCACTAACATCTTGATATTGACTGCCTGACTCATCCCATACCTCCTCCAGACTGATGATACTTCGAATGCACAATCTGCATGGGACTAAATCCCCATCCTCAGAGGACAGTGATGATGAGGAGGAGGAAGATGAAGAGGATGAAGAAGAGCGGAAGCCTCAGCTGGAGCTGGCCATGGTACCTCACTATGGTGGCATCAACCGAGTTCGGGTAAGGATAGTCCCAGTAATCTACTTTGCGTTCTCTGAGGATGTCAAACCCCACCATGTGCACAGATTTTTTGGGCACCTCCTCATGCCCTTCAACTTTTAGAAAAGTACTTGGCGTGTGACTCTGTAATTGTCATGTGCTAGGTATTGTTTTATATTATGGTATTATTTATTATATCTTTTGCTTTCCTTATATGTAAAATGGTAAGAATTATAAAAATTTAGCCTATTGAACTGATGTGAGGATAAAATGAAATAATGTATAGTGCCCTGGAAGAGCATCTGTTTTTAATGTGTGATATTTTTTGTTAAGTGATTACCTAGATGTGGTTTTGGGATTTAGAAGTTTGTTTGCTTCACCGTTAAAAATCTTGTGATCAGGGCTGGGGATGTGGCTCGAGTGGTAGCGCGCTCGCCTGGCATGCGTGCGGCCCGGGCCGATCCTCAGCACCACATACCAACAAAGATGTTGTGTCCACCGAGAACTAAAAAATAAATATTTAAAAAAA